CACACACACTGTGAGGTCACACACATACAGACACTGAGGTCACACACATACTGAGGTCACACACACTGTGAGGTCACTGTAGTGAATGTTTACTTGTTTTGAAGGCTGGAACCATTCGAGCTGCTTTGACTGGACGTACCAGCGGAGGAGGGGAGGAGTCAGGAGGGAGAACTGAACCTGAACACACACAGTAAAACACACAATAACACAGACACACATCAATTATCATCTCTGTGTATATGATGGTCTATGGAAGCATATTACTATCCCACCAGTTAAAAAAAAAACAGTGTGCTGTTATCATTCCTCATTAGAACCCTGAGATGATCCTCAGCTCTTGTGGGAAGAAGCAGCTTTATCTCAGCTGTGTGAAGGCGCTGAACCTTCACTCTCAGGTTGGAGTCCAGGAGACAAGGTGGACGGAGGGTTTTGCTGCAGGCTGCACCACTGAAGGCAGGTGGAGGCTCCTGTATAAACCTCCTGTTGAAAAACTGGTGGGTGACCTCCAGTGGAGGATTCTACCTGGAGCTTTAGCTGCGAACAGACAGAGCTCACCTGGACCGGAGCGCTGGAGGGGGGTGTGGTTTCTGTGACGACAGGGAGAATCTGGAACACCTAGTGGTGTCTGGTCCTCAACTAGAGGATTGATTTAGACTACTGCAGCAGTGGGGGAGAACTTTTCTGCCCCGCTGTTTGTTAACGGAGCTAAATTCCACAAAGGAAACAGAGCTACACTGGTCCTGATGAACTTCCTGTTTGGCTAAACTGGCCACATGGAAGAACAGGAAGAACCAGATGTTGGGCGAAGGCTGGACAGATGAAGTGTTTTAAAGGTTTGGTATCAGCTCAACTGAGAATACAACACACCTTCTACACCCTGAGCAGTAACCTGGAAGGTATGTTTAAAGTCTCTCTCTTGTTTTCAGGATTCATAGAACCGGTCTGACCACACACCTGACACCAGTTGAAGTACAGGTGTAGTATATGTCAGGACGTGTTGACGGGGATTTACCTGTGACGCTGCTGCAAGTGGACTCACACTCGCTTTCAGACTCAAAGTTGTTGCCGTTGGCATCGCAGCCTCCGTAGAAAAAGCTGCGGCATCTCTGTTCTGTCACATTGTAGAAAAACCTTGGAAACGCAGCACGACACGACCCCACCTTCATCGGCAGACGACACAGAACTGATGGGAGACCAAAACAGACGTCAACACACGCACTCACAACACACACTCAGTAACACACACCTGTGCAGGTGAGACCGGTCGAGCCGGAGCAGCAACATTGTTCCTCTCAGTCACTTTCTGAATGCGACACGTTAAACTAAGATCAGACGCTGGAAAATCGAATCAACGAATAATAATCAATGTTTTCTGATCGACAAAAAACTGATCATCAACTGATCCTTGGATTTGAGTGTTTGTTTCTGTCTTTTACAAACTAACTGTACAGTTGAAACAACAAATGAACTGATGGATACATTTGTAGTTAAATATTAAATGTATGTAGTTAAATACTTTGTGTACATTGTTAATACTTTTGTTTATGATGTTGTTTGTTACACAGTTTAGGGACCAGGAGCCAACGCAGACTTTGGGCCCGGGGCCCCTCAGAAGGTTGACCAGGCCCTGATGAGACCTGATCAATAATCAATAATATTAATGATGGTGATGAACTCACCGTGGTTGCTCTGGTTGTTTTGCGGATCAGTGGAGCTCAGCAGCGGGACGATGTGGGGAATCTCCGGGCTCTTCATCGCTTCTTTACTGGAAACTTTCTTCACCTGCTTGAGGAAAACCGAGAACTGGGAGCTGGGCCTGGAAACGCACACCTCGCGGCCCTGCTCCTGGTTCGGACAGCTCCACAGCTCACACTGCGGCCCTCCGTCCGCCGGGTACCCGACCACTGCAACGTCACAGTCCGGCATATCGCAGCACTTCTCCCGGCAGCTCTGCGGGTCCAACGCCTCAACTTCTCCCAGAACGACTCCGGAGTCTCCGTCCCGGACCTGATCTGGATCGATGGAGCTGTCCCAGGTACAGTCCAGAGCCAGGCCGGGCGCGAGCAGGAGACACAGGGTCAGGACACCGAGTGTGTGTGGGTCCATTGTGTCCTGTGATTCGGATGTACACCTGGATCTAGATCTGTTTCTAACACGTTGGATCGACTCTCCTTTGCAGGAACAATGAGTCACTTCCGTGTTCAGCAGTATTTTGTTGTCGCAGATTCAATCACCTGAGACCCAGGTGAGGTAACTGCAGGCCACGCCCACGTATTGCGTCATCTGCCCCTCCCACCACACGCACGCAAACACACGCAAACACACACAAACTCACACACACAACAAAGACCAGGTTTGTGTGTAATTTAAATGGGGAATAATACGGTTTAAATAGTATGTAGAAATAAAGAACTTTTAAATATGTTTAAGTTGCATTGTTAAAAACGTTACATTCAGAAATATACTCTAAGTAGGAAATATTCTATTTTAAGATTAAGTCAGTAAATAACGATTGATTATTGTGGTTAATATCTTCTTCTTCTCTCACCCTGTTTCCTGTCTCTGTTAATAAACATTAGCTTATTAATTGCCTTGATCCTTTTATTATTAAGGGTCAAACTGAAACTGACATCTTAAAACTCATAAACTGATGATGGGGGGGTATCCTTATACGTCTATTTTTATGTTGGTTTCAGTGTTTTATTTTATCGAGCTGTGATGTTAATTCTTATAATTTGTGTCGTATGTGTGTGTGTGTGAGTCAGTTAGTGTGTGTGTGGTCGAGAAGAAAGTTCAACAACGGATTACGAAATGTGAAAAATTGTACGTCATGTCAATCAAACTCAAAAGATGAAGTTACACACATGTTGACATAAGTAAAACTATGTAACACAACACAATAAGAAGCATGTTTAAGAAGAAATACACACTGAAAACACATACACTTTATTTACTGACACACACTGATCTCACCGAGAAAAAAACTCATTTTAAAGCTTTCACCTAAAATGCTGTTTAGAGGAACCTGCCAAAATAAAATATTTTTTAACTTATGAAGTGTTGGATGACGTCCTCATTCAGGATCCACCAGGGGCATCTTAAACTGACACTGGACTGACCTGTAACACACACACACACACACACACACACACACACAGTTAAAGTTGATATTATTTTATATCAATAGTTTCAGGTGGACCCTCAGTTTCTTACTCTTACCTTGTTGCCGTGGAGACCTCGTCCCAGCATCAGACCCAGCATTGAGTTCAGGACGTTTGCTGCACAGAGAAGAGTCTGCAGCCCACTGGCGCCCCCCATCACACTGAACAGTACTACATTCCACTGAACCACAGCACGAGGCTGCAGACACACTCCTGACCACAGGGTAGCATTGTACAGGTAACTTTGACTGAAGGACAAGAGACAGCAAGAGTCAAAACATCTGGACATCCTCCTTCGTGTGTGTGTGTAAGTGTGTGTGTGTGTGTGTGTGTGTGTGTGTNTGTGTGTGTGTGTGTGTGTGTGTGTGTGTGTGTGTGTGTGTGAGTGAATGTCTCACCAGTCATGAAGGGGCCGCAGTGGGACCCCCCAGGTGGGACCAGTGGTGGTGTTGTAGAGACAGTGGGGCCCCTGAATGAGGCCCGTAGCACTGACCAGACAACAGCCACCAGCTGCCACCAGACAACCAGTGGAATTCAGCACCTGACACAACATCTGGAAACACAAGACATAAAAACATTTTCTGAAAAATAATCAAATTATTATCCACCTTCATGACCTTTATGACACTTGCATGTCGAGTTGCTTGAGGTGCCTGAGATTTAAGATTTTCATTGCAAACATGTAGATGTATCTGTTGTGCAGATGACAATAAAACCTTTGAATTTGACCTGAGACCACACCCCCTCTGCTCACCTGACGCCTGAATGCACAGCAGCCTCTGGTTCCGCTGCTGCGAACAAACGCTCGAGCTCCAAGAAGAACCTGGAACCAGTTTCAGCCAAGTTTATCATTCCTGTTTAATTTGACAATACAACTTAAACAACACAAACTTACCATAAATCCTGATGCCCAGAGGCCCGTGGCCCACGTGGCCTCTCTGGTCACATGACCCTCCAACAGGAAGTTGATCTTCAGCTCAGGAAGCAGCAGCAGGATGTTGGATAACATGCAGATGATTGCCATGGGAACCAGAGATACGCCCACACACTGTAGACACCTTGACACACACATCTGTTGAGTTCACATGACCACACAATGAAACAGGGCCAGGACTCCTCCCCCACATTTTATACAATCCATTGATGACCTGAATGTTGTCACTGAAACTGTCCAATCAGCTGATGAGTTTTGAAATACAGGAAAATAAAGCTGGAGTTCTTCAGGAATCTGTGTGAGTTCCTCTGGGTTCTGATGTTGGTTCTATATTTTTTTGAATTTTCATGTACAAACAACATCTAAGTGAACGTGTCACAATGTTCACCTGTGTTACAGTGTGTGCGTTTGTGCGCATCTGGGAAGACAAAGTTATTTATTTGAAAATGTTCGGAGTCTGCTGTTAAGAGGTTTTCAGACAATCTCTGGAGTGTCCAGAAATTCTTTCTGACCTGAGTTCATCTATTTAAACCATCAACTTGTCTATTAGACTCTGTCTCAACTGGACTTTTTAAGGACGTTTTTCCTCTAATGGACAGTTCCATATTAAATCAGATTAATATTTGAACCCTAACACCCATTCTTCAGCCCTGTCACCACAATATCATCAGAACAGCTAAAGCTTACTTTTGCAAAGAGATATCCCGCCACATCAGTGAGGGCAGCAGAGCTACTGCTGTGGACACACAAAAAGAATCTGCCTCCTGGATGCTGGCCTCATGCAAAGGGAGCCTGGACTGATGTAACTAATTATATCTTATTAATAAGAAATTATTGAAGGATAGGAGGCCTGCTGATTTCACCAGAGGAAACAACAGCTGTTGAGCTACCTGCTGAGATTAGCAGGGAGGAGTTTGAGCAGTGGAAATGACAGCGTCCCTGCGTTAGAGCCATAGACTGTGTATACAGAGGTGAGAGCCCGTTGCAGGTGCAGAGGTGAGAGAGCGATTTGCTGTGGATATCAATGCTGTCAGCAGCAAAGAGAGAGAGGAGGAGAGAGAGTCCTCTGAGGTAGTTTCATTCTAATTTTTTACATCTTTAGTAAACAGTTGTGTGTTTAGTTGTCACTGTTATGGAATTCACAGTGAATTAGACTCAGTGCAGACAGTAATGACAGTTTTAGATGTGATTATAATCTCAACTCACCATTGTAAACAGTTCTCACACTGATCACATATTTATCTGTTTTCACACTGAGGGAAGTTGAGGGACTTGATGTGGACTGTTATCAACAGCACTGTGAGAGATTATCACTTGAATATTACAGATGAGGTAGAAAGACATTTTATATATTTGTACAATGTTTATTTCTTACAATATTTTCATCAGTTCTGGCTGAAATCTGTGGTGCTTCCACCTGCTGAACACAGAATGAACTGTAAGCACCAGTCTTGGCTGCTTAACACAGCTGATATTACATGTGTCAAAAGTATTAATTATTATTATTCTATAATAATCTGAAGTGTTGCTGCTTTGCTCTGTGTTATCCTTCAGATGTGACAGTGATTTCAGCATAAACATCCTTTATAGTGAGTTTTTTCTTTTCTTTTCATGAAGCACTGCAGCACCTGATGTCCTTGGAATCCACTGTGGCAGCAGCAACATAGTGGAGAGCGGCAGCTTCAGACTGGTCACATGAGGACGACCTGCACAAGCTTCATCTGCACAACACTTCATGTTTTCCTCCCTCAACTAAAGATGACCTGCAGCTGCTATAAGTTGGTAGTCATTGCAAAGTGTCATGGATAATATTGAGTCCATTTTTATATCCATTATGTTGGTAAAACACTGTGATCAAAACAATGTTCATCTTTTACTGATTTGATAAACTTTGGATAAAACAGTGTTTTATTTTCTTCTTTGCCATAAGAGACAGAACACACTCAGCACAGCTGTGTCCTTCAGGCTCGTCCGTCCCTAATAAAATGACAGGAAACATAAAAGTATGGCATTATTGCAGAGGAAGTTTGTGTTCTTATATTCTGTGGATATTCAATTATGTAACTGAAAATGGTTTTGGATTAAACAGTGATCTAACAAAACATTTAATCTTCAGTATGGAGTTCCTCCACATTAAAGTATTGCATATATAACATAATGCATTATATGAAATACTCTGCTTGAATTGTTTGTAAGTTATGAAAACAGTTCTGGAGTCAGTGCTGAAGTGATGACTCAGTGTCCAGTCCGGTTGGAGTCCACTTCTGTCTCCTCATGTTGGACATCCATGGGTGCAGGTCGTCTGAGTCACCTAGAGGAAAACTACACAAATAAGTGAACTCCTTCACAAACTTTGAAGTAAGTTCATCAGATCATAATCACTTCTCTTCAGTTTAGGAAGTTGGTGGACGTCAGCCTCAGGTTCTCTGTGACTGTCTATTCTAGGAAAGTTACACTTCCTATTTTTTATTTATATGTGATAAACAAACACATTATTCTGCATGTTCACTTATTTATCACACAAATGACAGAGTCAGTAAAGTCTGTTTAAGATTAACGATGTCAAAACTGAATGTAGCAGACAAGTTCAGCTTCCAGTCGATTCAATTCAACGTGACTTTACAGCCGAGTTTCACGGTGCAGCACGAATGTTATTTCTGAAACAGTAAACTAGCATAAATACTGAAGTTACAGTAACATAGTCGAGACAATAGGTTGTTGAGAGAAACTACATCTCACGTGATGTAGTGTTTTCTTCAAACACACTTCAGTTTCAAAGATGTATCACCAGATACGCTTCTCTCCGACATGTGGACCGGTTCATGTCAGTGTTGTTTCGGTTTAATATCGTAAGTAATAGCTATTCCTGCTGGTATCTTGCCTGAAGGCTAGCGGAGCTAAACTAACAAGCCAGGTACAGAGACACAGCTGCTCATCACCACTGACACATAAATAAAACACTGATTTACTCACCACAGAACCTGGAGCACAGACGTCTGCGACCTCCCGTCAGGACAGTCAGCCGAACAACAAACCATGATATCATCCTTAGCTCAGGTGAAGGGGGATTAGCCTGTTAGCTCAGCCCGTTAAATCAGGTGAAGGGGATAAGTCGTTTTCTTAACGACCAGGTAGTTTTTAAATAACCAGGTAGTTTGTAGTTTTTTTAATGACCAGGTAGTTTGTAGTTTTTTTAATGACCAGGTAGTTTGTAGTTTTTTTAATGACCAGGTAGTTTGT